GCCCGCCGCCGCCCTCCGCAGGGCCGCGCACCTGCGCCCGGTGCAGCAAAGCCCTCTTCAGGGGAGGAGAGGCTGCCGCTTAAACACATGCAAAACTCTTCTGTTTTTAAGCAAAAATCTTCCGCTACCCAAAACGCAAATCTGCTTCCCTTCCTACAGCAACAGGTGCTGGTAAGGAAAAGCTATTTCTTTCCTCTTTCCCGCCTCGAGGGACCTCGGTGAGTCCTCAGAGAACTCTAGGTTACTATTCCCCTCATACATCTTCCACAAACAATTAGTGAGTTCAGCTTCTTGTGCAACAAGAATCTTAGGCTTCGTTAAAATAAATTTGAAGACCTGATGGCTACAGGGAAAACCTCAGTATGTAATCCAGTGTGCGAGACTCGGAGCTATCTGCCAGAGCCGGCTGAAGGCCTGGAACAATTGCACTGAAAGGCACAAATTGAAGAACAAGCAGTGTCCATGTAGGTACACGTTTGATAAAGAGTTACTGGTCATATGCACAATATTTATTCACCTATTTCCTGCCACACCCCACAGTGCCTGTGCATTACTTCCCTTCTGGAAGGAACAGGATCTGGGAAACAAAAGTCACTGTTGACAGCTTTAGCCAAAAACAGACTGAGGCCCAGTCCTACAGTATATTACAGCCTTTTATTTTAACAGCCTTCTGGGGGGGTCTGCTTTACTATCCTCTCAAATTTTGTGTTTGTGGGACCAACTCTTAGGCCTGAGTTTTTGTTATGAAGTAGCTAGGTTAGTGTCAAGATAGCCAGCCTGAAAACAAAGTACACAGATTGTGAAAGTCTTGACTTTGCGTTCCCGGCTCTGTTCTGTTCTGACTTGGCTGCAGTTAGTCTTCCTCATACTTCGGTCAACACCTTCCTCTCTTGTCACAGGGCTTCACACAAAGCCAAAAACTACTTCCTCTTTAAAATCTAGGCCTGTTGCCGTGGCTAGCTCCAAAACAGAGCCAAGCATTCAACAGTTTCCTAGCTGTTGCACAGTAGCAGCATTTATGCAAGTCAAGTTCTGAAGACAGTTTGTGCAAGGACAGCATGTTTTAGTGGTATCTCCTCTAGAATATTGCTTTGATGTAAGAAGGTATTTTCAAAGAAATGGCAACTTAATTCTGCAATAGTAAGGTTAAAGCAGAAGCTTAAACCAGAGAGGAAAAAATGATACAGTGTCATCACAAATTAAATATGACTAACAGGGAAAGTGCATTCCTGTTCCTTTAGGAAAAGATCAGGCCTCAGTGATTTATTTCACAAGTTTTCATTTGTTGAGAAATCTTAAATTCTTCAATGGAACATGATTTATTATTATTATTTCTGAATTTCTATAGTTTGAACAAAATGATGTTCTTTTTGTCTCTCTTTTTCAATATCGGAGCTCTGAGCGAATATGTCAGCTAGTTTAAATTGGTGTAACTTCCCAAAAATTACTATGCCGGAGCAAAGCTATAATGTTTGAGAGGCTGACAAAATAATACCGATGGAAAAGCCTCACCTGCCTGAATTCAAAACTCCATAAGACTTTTAGGAAAATAGTGTCTAAAAACCTAAATAATTCTGAAGTAGCTCTGTTTTTAGGAAGTGTCTTGCCTTTTATGATTTTTGTCAGGGTTCATCTGTTTCTCAATGTTGCATTCTGTTTCAGACGTTCACTGGTAACTTTGTCTACTATATTCAATCTGTGCTCCCAGATGACATAGTAAAAACAGTACTGGAGAAAATAGGCTACATTGCAACAACAGCAACAGAGTTTTCACTTGTCAGAAAGAGAAACAATGAGGAAATAAAGCAGACTGCATTTGAAATATTCCTGGCAAGAACTGAGTGTGAAACTATCCTCAAAATGACAAATGAAGAAAAACAAGGCAATTTGGAGAAGACCCTACAGAAGAGAACACAGATGCACTGGCCTCATGGAGATAAGAACAGAGAGGATCAGACACCCCAGGGAGACAACTCTGAAAATCTGGAAAACAAAGAAAACAGTGAGACATCTTTGTGCCCTGCTATTCAACGAAAGTCTTCAACTAACAGTGATATATCCTTTGAAGCTGCTAGGGATCTCAAGATCAAAGATGATGTGCCTGAGTTAGCAGTTACTCAATCCACTAACACGCTTCAGGAACACCAAAGGCAAGTCATTAACACAGCACACTTTCCGGGCAAATGCTCAGACAGCGAGGACTTCTTGATCAAATATAGTGACATTGTCATAAGACAAACACCTATTTTCAGTGAGAATCTTTCTCAAAAAGCTTTTGAAAAAAAGCCAAGAGACAGTCTAAGTGAAGAATGTGTTTTGGCAGTCACTGCACAGTCAACTGAAAATGAGATCCTGCCTGTGCCACTCTCACCAGGAGCAAGCGGTCCACCAGCCTTTGCAATATTTGCTGACAGCTCTTGTGACAATAAAAACAGTTTGGAGTGCAAAGCTCAAGAAGCCCCTGAAGAATCAATTGAAGGAAAAATTAGCGATGCCATAAACTGCATAGATCCACACCCTGCAGATGAACCTAATGAGCTGAAGTCTCTGCCGTACAAGGATATTGCATCTGTCCCAGACCACAGTGTCCCTAGGGAAGAGGATGTCAGTGAGTTGTCTTTAACCTTTACTAAACTACAAATTAAGGAAGCTCAAGAAGAGGTGATGTATCCAGTAGAGGAAAGCGGGCAACCTGAGTCAATAGCATATGTAACTACAAGTGACAGGGATGCAAGAAACTTTAATCATTCCAAAATAAAATGTGCATACACAAGTAATGCTCAGACACAGAGTAGAGCAGCTGCACGTATTGAGCTGTCTTCAGATCTATGCTGTTCTACTAGGAACATGGAGGATCCCACCAATGGCTCTGAGAATAAAAGACTAATAATGGATGGTCCTAACGCACACACAGCTTCTGCGTGCTTCAGACTTATTAGGGAGCCACCTAATCCCACCTACATCCCACCACAAAGTATTGATGTCCAATCTCCAAGCACAAGCAGCACCACTGCGCATGGCAGAAAGAACCTGTTGCAGCCTGAAGGAGACTTTCCTGAATCCAGCAAAGTAAAGCTGGACAGTTATAATTTAAAAATAAATGAAATCCAGGAGCCTTATGTCATCATTGACAAAACTGATTAAGGAATGTCTTGCCATCGTATTAATTCTACCGGTGCTTTATTTGTAAGAAAGATGCCTGGTTTTTTCCTCACTTGTGGCCTTGATCATCATCATCTTCAACAAGATGATTAGCCTTGTCACAACAATGAAAAACCGTAACACTTTTGGACAAGTGGAAAAAAAAAAAAAGGAGGGGGGCAGAAATAGTTGAACAAGTTTTAAATGGCCCCTCCGTACGTGGAACCATGGGTATTCAAATCTGAATGTTCACCTTTCTAAAATGAAGATACTTTCATAAATTTGCTCCATTTATTATTTAAACCTCTAGATCCCTTCTGGCTTTACTTAACGGCCGACAGGTTTCTTCAGTTCAGCATCCTGCTACTTCTGCTTTTTCTAAAGACCTGTTCTTGTAAAAATCCAAGAATGAAAATGGAGCGAGTCTAGCATGCTGTACAATGACAGAAACGGGTAAATGTTTCTAAACTGGAAACCCCTACCTTATAGCTTCACAAATGCTTTACTGAAGGGCATTTCTGTTAGCTCATGACATTCCTGTGGAGCTGTGCTCTGAGCTAATATTTCTTCTGTCATCAGCTGAAAATAGGTTTAGAAAGTCTGATAACATTCCTTTAAAAAAAAAAAAAAAACAACTGTGAATGTTTTGGGGTTTATTTTTTGCATTGAGGTAATAGCATGGATCATCTAGACATGATAACCTTTATCACAGGTTTCATTTGTGTCTGTCACCAAAACTTTTCGTGGCAAGTGCTGCAAATAAGCTCTGAGCATCATGATAGTTCACTGCTACCAAAGGAGGGAGATCTTGCTACAGCTGTCACCTCCCTTGCCCTTGTTTCTGCCATTAATCTGGCACCATCTCTAGAGTTTACTGGGACTTTCTCTGAGCCAGTTTATCTCACTAAAATGAAAGGGATACATTCCCTGGCGCTTCAGTGGCTGGAGAGAAGGGAGGAGAAAAAAAATCAGAAAGATCAGAGAGGGGTTCCAATAAGCATTAGAGCTAGGACAAGGGACATCCTGTAGAGGAGTGTGGCGTGAGCTGAGAAGGAAAGGGAGCAAGATTGTTATTACCAGCTCAACTGTATGTGCAACTGCAGTTGGAATCCGAATACTGAGAACCTCAGTCAACTCTAATGCCTTGCTGGAAAAGTATCTAATAAAACATTTAATTACATTTTGAATTTAGAAGAGCAAGCAGTCAGCTGTACTGCATTTCAGCACAGAATCTTCCATGCTGCTTTATAAAAATATTACCTAGAAAGACAGCTTATTTCAATACTGTTTCAAGTAACTTCAACAACCTGCTTAGTAAAAATTACTTTGGTATTTCCAGTAGCACTTCAATCCTAAGAATGTTTCATTTCATTCATACCTGAAATACTGACTGAAATTAGTTTGTATTAATTGCTTATAATGGATTTCCATGCCAAAAAGAATTCAGAGGGGAACAAAGAGATGATACTGGGAAAAACTTGGGAACTAAAAATGGAAGATCCTCTGCTTTTTGAGCAACTCATTGAAGTCCTGACATCGCTTAATTTGAGCAGCGTAGGAGGAATAAAACTTTGACCAAACTAATTTCAAAGGATAAAACTGCTTTCAGCTTTGGGTGGGGGTTTGGGGGAGGATGAATATTGCAAATATGTATACACACATCAGCATCTCCTTGCTCTTCTGTCTTTGAAGTACCTATCAGTGTTCTTGCTAACCATTTTGGTTTTTATAGTTTATATTTTTCCCCCTGTGGGGGTTATTAAAACTCTGTTTTAAATCTTATGTTAATTGTCCAGGAACTCTATAATTTAAGGCTGAAAAACTCCTTCTCACCACAAATGAAGATGCTTTCTGAAGTACTTAGAGGACCACCAGCACTACAGGATCCATATACCTATCATGCCATTTCTTATTTTTACCACATTCCTTAGAGGAAGAGTAATTAATAGCAACTTACTTACACATGAAAAGCCAAGGCACAAAGAAACTAAAGACCACCTCTTGAAGTGTCACCGTTTTATGGGCCTAATTCCATTACTGCTGTATTTCTGGCCTTCATTAAACCCTTGGTCAGTTAACATCTACTGTGAGAAGCACTAGAAGTCAAACACCAGCTTCTCCTGATAAGCCTGTACAAAATTGCTTGCCTTCATGATACCTGGCAGGTAGGGCACCTAGACCTTTACGTTGCCCCATTCCGAGCAAAGTTCTGGAGCTGGGTCTATGTCCCAGAGCTTATGAGCAACCTGACAAGGGGAAAACACAGGCCCAGTTCACTAACAGATTTATCTACCAAATAAAAGGAACACTGGTGGAGATAGATTAAGGATATTAATATATTTTATTTCTGAACAAAGCCCACTAAACAAACAGTTGCACAAAACCCGTGGAATATAAGATGGCCACATTCTGAGAATTTAGTATTTGATAATGTTTGTGCACCTGCATCAAAAAGAAATTTCCTCTTTACAGCAGATTGACCAGGACTGTTAAGCGTTCTGCCTGCCTTTATAGAGGGAGGCACTGTCCACTTCAAACCTCTTGGATGTTTTCATCTGAATTTCCTATTATTACAAGGACACCTTTGATTTTTCTTCCTGTAAAATGGTAGATTTTGAGGTCTTGTACTGAAAGCTACTTTCGTATTCCCAAATTTCTGGGGTCTGCTCCGGGACAACTCCGTTTCATAGTTACAGACTCTTGTGAAGGGACTGGATCCGAAAACCAGTCAAAAACAAGAGACAAGTCATGTATTTAATAGGCCTTAAGCTGTGTTCCTTTGTGCAACTACCACATGGGCAGGGTAGAAGTGGGTCCAAAATCATGTTTGTAAATCCAGTCAGACCTGAGAGGAAGACAGACAGACAAAAGGGACCATGAGATTTCTGGCCCCATCTGCCAGTGTCCTCCTGTCCCTGTTGCTAATGACCACTGCACCTTGCCTAATTAACTTAAACGAGAGAAACCACTTAAGTACTGCTGCTAGCCAGCAAGAGTGCTGGCTGCCTGGGCCTCTTTCTCAAGAAGGGTGATCTGTGTTTGTAAAATGCATGCGTATCCTCTTGTGAGCTGTCAACTTTAACTGTGCTACAGCTGGTCCTGATTGACTATGAACCAAATGGGGATTTACTAACTGATTGGTTATTTTTCTATCATAGAGACACAAGGCCAACGCTGTCCCCAAATTTATATGCTACACACAACCCCTTTGAACAGTTCCGCTCTCAAACCTTGGATTAGAGAAATTCTTTTGATCAGTGCAGACACAGATCTCAGGCTGAAGTCCCTGGTAGCTGGTGATATTATTCAGTCACATGGCCTCTCCCACTAGGTCTCTTAAAAAAGTCATTTTCCCCCTTAGCATTCATATCACACATACACCTTTGCCCTGTCTGGAGCAAAGGTATTAACCATAGCTTGGCTTTAGAACAAACCCTTTGCTTTTAAAAGCCAGGAACCAAAACCAAATTTCAGTGCGAGACCTCCAAAAAAGAACAGACTGGAAAACTGGCAGATACTAAATGAACAAAGAATTACCATTTCTTTCAGGATCGTAAGTGAAAGTTTTTAAAGACAATGTAACAAATAGCCTGAGACACAAACACAGCAGGGCTGACAGCGACTGGGAAGGTGCTGCAAAGCACTGATGAAGATAGGTATGCTTCTAATGCCCAGAACTGTCTCAACACATAAAGACAATTTCTGAAACACCACTTTGTCACTTTGTTCTTACCTAAACACTCGGAGAGTAACAACTAGTGACCTCCCTACAGGTTGCACCACATGTCTATTTACACAGTAAATTGCAAATCAAGGCTGAAGGGCCCACCCATTGAAAATGAGCAGGCACAGCTCTCTAAGCGAGACAGCTGATTAAATCTCACAAAGCTCCTTTCCACGGGATTTCTATAGTAAAAAATCTGAAATAAAGAGTAGGATGGAATATACCAAGCAGCATATTCACAGTGAAATTCCTAATACCTTTATACTTACTGCAGAAAGGGAGTGGGGGTGGGGGCATATATATCACAGTTACCAGACAGAAAGCTCTAGGATGGAGCAGAGGATCCAACTCAAAGCCTTTTGGCATAAAAATAAATAAAAAAAGTAGTATGCATGCAATACATTGGTAACAAACAGAGCTCCTCTAGTTTGTCACTCTCCCATTCTAACTTGTACATTCAGATAGAGATCACTCTGTTAGGTGCAAGTTTACACAGCACTTACCAAAATGGTGCTCTGATCCTGATACAGCACAAACAGTTGTCAGTGCCAGCCACTATTAAAAGACTGATAAACCAGGACAGCATCTGGACTGGACAAGACGACTACATTTATCTCATGTAGGAATGAACCTATTAGTTTTTGTTCTGAAACTTTTCATTTTTGAAAGCCGGCAACTTTCTTTTAGCCCCATCAAGTGCCTCAATTGGTCAAATGCTGTAAAACACCATTTTACCATAATTCTCCCCTTACTTATTCTGCTTTAGATATACACAAGGTGTGCTTAAACCTCCATACTCTACAGAAAGGATGGGATCCTCAGAGTCCTGAGAGAGGAGGGTAACTTGCTAGGAGAGCCCTTACTCAGGAGAGGTACAGAGAGCTTCAGGCCAGAATCTTTTAACAGCAGCTGGTGGCAGAACAACCAGCCCTCCCCACAGTCTCTGCAGGAGGAAGTGCATTGAAGAGAGATGCTAGACTATTTATAGGTGTGGGCAGTCCTTTTGTGTGCTGTTTACACAGGTGAAGACACGTTCTGAGATTTCACAGGACCTACGGTCTTGAATAGTCATCTATCTGAAATGATTAATCAAACAAGTAAGATCTCCTAAACACGATTCCCAAGCTAAAAGACAAAAGCAGACAAAAGGTCAGACTAAAGAGAATGCACCTGTTCAACAACATTTTTTTTTTTTTGCAGTATCTCTATTTCACTTCGAACCAATTTATATGCTGCTACCAGATGCTGCTGATTTGCTAACATGCCTTGACCAGGACAAAGTAAATATCCAAGTCTGGACAGAACATCCATCCAAAATACATAAGCAATAAGAAAAAGCCAGTACAGAAGGAGACAGCACTTTTCATTTAGATTGCAGTTAAACTGTGGAACGCATTGCCACAGGGTATTATGCCAAACTTTACAAAGGCTCACAAAGTGATAAATTTCCAGAATAAAAATCCACCATGGGCTATTAAACACAAAGATAAACCAATGGCTCAGGAAACCAAAAAGAACTAGAAAGTCTTAAAGGGAGAAGAATCACTGTTCCTTAATTTGTACACTGTTCCAGAAGGCATCCACTACTAGCTATTGTGGGAAACAGAATACCACAAAGGTTGACTGACTCAGTACAGTCATTTTTGTCAGATGCTATGTTTCTGTGATTTTCTTCAAGTAATCTGAAACTTACACAGTGAGAACGAGTCTCTCATCTTCACAGCGCAAGATGTGCTGATAAAACCTTAATACTCCATTAGGAGAAGTAACTAAAAATTAGTATTAAGAATTTTAATTCATCTCATAGACACCTAAAATAGATTTCCAGATATAGAAACAGATTTTGCCAAAATGTCTGCAAATCCAGTTACACATGTTCAGGTTTTAAGTAAACATTACATCCTGCCTTATAGGACAGATCTTTAAAAAACGACACAAGTTGCAGTTTGTTTATATGATCCATTCCACCGATTTCAAAGTTCAGTATGCCCACAGAAACAGGGTACCTTCTATGGTATTTTGTGTCTTGCTGCCAAATCATTGCCTCTCAGACAGTCACAAAAAGAACCAAATATATGTCAGGATAACGGTAATTGCCCTTTCTTTTTATTCCCCATCAACTGAGGAAATGAAAGCAAATCCCAAGCTTAAAAACAACTCTTTTGTGGTTGTTTTAATACCTTTTATCTACACATCTATAGCAGACTGGAAACATTGTACATTTAAAACATACACCAAGCAACCTGTTTTGTTTTGCTCCCAGTTCTCATTAAATATCCTAAGATTCCTGTATACAAAAATCTATAAATGAAGTCATACATAACAAAACCTAAAACAATCATATTATCTGTAGCCATTACACTTGTAATCTTTAAGAAATAAGTTACATAAATAATTTATATTCCTTTTATTATAATTGTGACCATCAATAACTTCCATCCAAACTGCTGTTTTGATAAAATGAAGGAAAAAAAAAAAAAAGAGATCTGATCAATAAGTTCCTTTTAAAAGCAAAAAGAAAACAGTAAGTTAAAGATTCTTTGTACAGAACAAATAAAGTGCTCTTTTCTGGACTGTCAGGTTACTGTGCAAATATACGTCACTTGGTTCTAAAATCCATAATCAATTTGGAGTTAGGAACAAACTGCTGATGACTGTACCTTACACACTTACAAACTATTTCCTTGGAAATAGTTCTTTTGGTCTCTTTTAGAAGAAAAAGAAAACTGAAAGTTTCAAGAAGAATTCAAGAATGACTACTATGCCACCACAAATAAGCTTCAGTAAGTAAGATAACTTAAAATGTAAAATCTTATTTTTTAAGCTAGAATTATAAAGCTTTCCAGCCATCGAATGGCAAAACTGGATTCACAAGCTTCAGCATATCAATTTAGTACCTCACTAGGAAATGCTCTCTCAGTGCACTGATCATTTTCCAATTGTACTGACTGGAAAAATAATTCCCATCAGATATAAAAAAGAAATGACTGCATTTCTTTACTTGGAAAAAGGTGCTATCATTTCAATTACAGCTATTTGGGGGCTTATGCAACTACCACAAAATTACAAAATAAAAGCAGTGAAGTGATGTATCTCCAAGAATGATAAAATCAGCTGCTGTTCATAACCAGGTAAAATGCATAAAAAAGCCAGGTAACTGAAATTACTATCCCTTCAACAAGTTACAGTCTAGATACTAACTGACTGAAATACTAACAGAAGTCCTGTTATCTATTTTTAGGAATATTCACTGCAGAGCTATGACAGATGCTCAGCTACATTAACATAAGTGTGTTTTAAAGCACTGTTAACTTTGTTTGCTCCAATTAAATCAACCAAAACTTTTATGAAAAAGTAATGATACACAATACTTCAGGAATCATTCCCCTCAAATTAAACAAAAAAGTTAATATGCAAACGGTCATAAAACTCTTCCATTAAAAGCATTAACCTGAAGACTACACTCAAGAGGGTAAAGTGGAAACGAAGAGCAACTCAATATGTTAGCCAACATCAGAGCAAGAAGTAAGCCTCCACTGTGTTTCTCTGCTCTCAGAGAAAATAGTTCTCCAAGAAAAAGTTCATCTAAGAAGTTAGGAAGCCAAAACAGTTAAGAAAGCAATTAATTCCAGGACTTATATCACCATCTGAAAGGAACAGATACAATTCTGTGCATCCTGTGTTTTCACTGGTCTTCAACTCAGCCATGGTAGGGCCAGTGATTTAATGAAAACAACTGAGAAATAAGCTCTTTTAAACATCTGGCATAAAACTACTCAGACCCATTCTGCAAACACCTATGAATTTTACATTATTCTTTTATTGCCACTGAATTCAGTGGGACTATGCTAGTTCACAGGTATCTACAGGACTACAACTTTATTGTGATTTTATGTAAAGCAGAAGAAACTTACAGAATTCAATGAAATTACACTAGTGTAAACAGGATTAGAGTAAGATCCCCTATCCTGAAATGACAAAACTTATTTAACAACGTTACTATAACGTGATGTATTTCACTTGCTTCTTCTAATAATAGCGGATATCTCACCTCTCATATGGAACTATTTCTTTCAAATTACAAAAATAGGATTGTCATGGGAAAAAAAAAAAGAAAAAAAACACCTTAGGTTACTTATAGAAAGCAGTAGCAACGTGGTAAATCAAGCAATAGCCATATTTGAGCCAGACAGAATTGATACAGTAAAGCTGATGGAGAACTGAAAAGTATGAAAGCATTAGCTTATATTCTGTTTACAAAAACTTGTAGACATTTCATACCAAAAGTCTACAACATCTTACAAAGTAGAATTCTAAAGCATAAGCCACCACACTGAGAAGTACTGCAAATACTCATCAGAATTCCCCAAAAGTCAGACTTCATAAACATGATTTTCAAAATATAGTAACAACAGACTTCTATAAACAGTGTTGCATATTATATAGGTTTAGTATTTGGTCCCGGTTTTCTTCATACTTTTCTATCATTTTCTGCATGTCATGGTCAGCTCCAATAACCTTGAAAACAAGAACACAAGCATTAGAAATAAAGTCCCTCTAAAACATGTTTGATTTCAAGCAAAATAGAACAAGACTACCACTGAGGCCAAACTGAAATCCTCCTGGAAATCAGACCAATTTGTTTGCTGTTCAGGGTTTGGCATTCATAGAAAAGGTCTGATCCTACAAACATAGACACAGTGAACAGCCCCTCCAATTCCACCTAACAGAAAGACAAGACTTTAATGGTATACACTATGGATAGTTGTAAACATTTTTCTGAGGTTTCCCTTCTCCAAAAGTCACTAGAAGGGCAGATTTATTTACTTTTACCACTACACAACACTCTGAATATTCAAGTAGTATAATCTTCTGCATCCTTAAATGGTTACAACTAAAATTATACTCACAAGCACCGGGCAGGAAACTTTAAAAAGTGTCTGTTTAATGAGCCACTCTTCATAGAGCTGATGAATGGCTTCTAAATATTCCTAGAAAAGAGGCGTTCAAACAATATATACTCACAGGGACAAAACGCACTGCAATTCCAGTATATTCGTTAAGGACTACATATGAAAGCTAGTATCGGATATTTCGACTGACAAAAAAATAAAGAATTAGGAGGTTTCTGAGAAAAAATAATTCCCAGTATAAAGTTTTACTCCATAAAGAACCTCAAAGAAACAGAGCTGACAGGAATGCAGGGCTCTCAGCATTCTGTAAGATCAAGAATCGTGCTTCTCTCCTACGGGTGTAATCTGGCTTAAGATTTTACAGAGAAGATAAATACAAGAGAGATGCAGAAACAAACAAGGCAAGACTACAGTGCATATCCACTCAAGGCATTTCCTGTGTCAATACATTTTCCTAAAGTTCGCTGTTCATTTCCTCCTGATTCCAACTCATTTTTTCTAAAAACATTTCTGCCTGTCATCAACAATTAGATTTTCATGAAGACCACTTAACATTCTTCATTCATAATTATTTTCTCCCCTTAACAGAACTGCAAAGTAACTCAGCATCTCTTCAGAACCACTGCGGCCAGTACTTATTCTCCAAGGCAAAACTTCACGTGACCCAGAATTTAGCTCTTTTATCTTCACATAAACGTTCAACTGACAGTTGTTACTACTGAACTACACAATAGTAGATTCCCTAATAATATACAGCACCTCTTATGTAACTACTTTTATTCCTGGTAAGGCTTTCTTTAGGAGAAGACTTGTTTAATGCAAGGCCTTTCTGTAAACTGTGACAAAGAAACCAATCATTCAATTTGTACAGTTTATTTTTTAAGCACGCTAATGATTTGCAAGAAGTTGCTTGCTTTTAGATACAAGCAAAGACACTTTTTATGCATAAGCATCCTACCAATAGCAGATGACAGGATATGTCCACATAAATCTTCACCATCTGCATGCATAGGTATTTGTACTTTACTTGGGTACATTTACGCTGCTTAATAACACAAAAGCAACTGGCTTTTTACATCTTAGAGAAGTTTAACGCTTGATTAATTTTTCACCTAAACAGTGAGCTATAGCAGACTGAGGTACCGAAACATGGCGCTTGCGAAAGTCAGTGTGTACAACAGATCACTTTCAGAAAACAGTTCAAATTTCAATACCAAAGTTTTAGTTTGCAATGGAAATAGCTGCACTGTACTTTGCCACTATACTCAGGATACGATTTTAATATTTAAATGTGTAATCATTATGTTTGTTAAGCTATGATGATACAAATTCATTGTAACCACACGTGGTGAAGGAACTCCTTACCAAAGGAATGATCTTTTCCTCTTCTCTGCATCTTCTCTTTAATCTCTCATAACAAACTTCAGGAGAAGTCTGCAGATAAACTGCCACAACAAAAATCATCATACTTATGTTTAAGGATCAACTTTAAAAGTTAAGAAGAAACCTACTTCAAAAGTACAGATGGAAAGGATCCTGACTTAGGTACAACCACTAAATTTCCCTTTGGCGTTACCACTAACGAACCATCCATAAATCCATGCTGTCTGATGCTACACATCACAAACATTATCGCATTGCATAAATTATGACCCAAGAAATACATTTTTTTCCCTCCCAGTTCCTCCCTCCTACCCAAAAATGCTCCTCAAGAGACCATCACAATTTTACCTATCAAATCAACTGACACATCCGTGTTGTTCTTGATCCAATCAAACCACTCAGTTAGGACAATGTAATCCACTTCTGGCATTTTTCCACTGAACAAACATAACAAAAGTTATCACTCATTGAACAACATGCAGGGATTGATTCTAAACCCACATATACAGTTTTTTTCCCCCACCTAACCAGAATTATCCCCAATTTATTCCAGCATACATGAAAATAAAAAAACAGACCAATATTGCATCCAGTCAGAATAAAGACCTCACAAAGCACTGTTCATAGGATCAAAAAAGTTTGAAATCCTTTTTTTTAAATAAAAAATGTACTAGTATGATGTTTGTATTATTAACAGTTGCAATCATTAATGATTTTCCTACTACAATCAAGAAGTAATTACTTGGTGACTAAGAAGAAAAAGATTGCCATATTGACATTTATACAGAAACAACAAATTAGTGTCAATGACATTTATTACTGATGTTCTTTACATCAGGATCATTGCAAATAGATCTGAACTACTGTTCTGCATGCCACCATTAAGGCTTGATTTACTAAGCAGCACTGACAAGTCATTACAGAAACCAACACAAAGAGCAGTGAAAAAAAAATGACAGAAGGCAAACAGTTTGCTCCCACTGAAAGAAGGATTTATGAGAAAAAAGTCCTTAAATACTCAACATGCTCAATTTCAGTGCTGCATTAAGAAAGCAAAGACAATACTGTAGATAACCATCCCAAAGTTATCTCCGTAAGAATAAAACATCAAAAACTCTCATGTAAAAGGGAGTCTACAGATGACACATTAAGAATTAAAGATTATGTTTTTACTAGTAATCTGTGAAAACTCCAATACTAAATATTCACGTATCAGTAGTTTGGATTATTCTGTCTTCAAAACTCATTATAGCAACATACTCGTTCCTAAACGTCTCTGCAGTAGACACGCAAAAAAGACAGGGCTGACATCCTGCCATCTCCAGCCAAATGATTAGAACCAGTTGCAACATTTCAAATAACACTGTAAGAAAGATTCCAAAGATTTTCTCAGTCATTTACCTGGCAACATGCTTTGATCTCTGCTAAAAACGAATAAAGATAATACAGAAAGATATTTCCACTGCAGTGTTCGAGAAAGCAGAACCACTATTTGTACCACCAGCTGAACACCACACCTCCCAAAGCACTCAAGAAAACGTACAACACAATTCACTGTTGAAATTCTTCTAATGTCTCAATTAGTATACGTTTCTGGGTAAGTCAACAATAATTTTTAATGTAAAAATACACATAAGTATTGATTCTGCTACTTTTCCACAAGATGTGTGGGAAATAGGAAGGTCAAAAGGAATTAGAAATACCAGAAAGCCCCACCATTCTTAGGTGAAAATATATCCAGATAAATTCTGCATGCCCTCCCTACAGACAATATGCCTCTGCCTTCCCTGTGCCAGTGGAGTCCACCGTATACTTGCATAAAGATTCTGGATCAGGCTCAAGATCCCTAAAACATCAGGGAAGATCAAAGTGTCCTACAAAGCCTTTTCCTCTCCAAAATTTGCTGACAAGGTTATGACTTCTACCAAGTCAAGTTTATACTGACAAAGTTAAAAATGAATAGAACTAGCTCTCTATCATAAATAACAGTATGAATTCAAATGGGAAAAAGTGAACTGTTAATGCCTACCACTGCAACACATCGTGCACACTTAAGTACACACATTTAAGATTCTTTTACGGTTTTACATCTAACATGACCTTCTTTTTCAGTGCTAAATTGAGATACGCAGTCACAATGAGAATTTGGACACTCATGCATATCCGTGCATGCTAGAGAAGCTCACAGCAATTGCTCATAAATTAAGCCTTCCGTCACTCTTGTAAATCTTTTTCTATTTCTCTCTCCGGGAAAAAGCCTGCAAAGCTAAAACACAAATACTGACTGACACTGGATCAAAGACGAGCTGGTATTCCTGATATTCCACAGCTCTTCATCCCTTGCTTAAACAAATCATTCTGCTATATGAGAACAGCTTGTACAGACTACAGATAACAAGGGATTGTTCTACATCTTTAAGACTGCAATACCTACTGGGACCGTAGGAATACCTTCTCTTACAGAAAAGAAAGCAGAGGGTAACCTCTAATCTCTGCAGCATTCTCACCCCATTCCGTCTGTGTCTTATTTTGAAGAGGGAAGAGAGAGGGAGGAAAAAAAAAAAGAATTCTATTTCATTTATATGCATTTCACTTATACGCAACTTCAGTGGGAAAATTCCTTCCATACAACTGTTTAAACCATCTTTTTGTTGTAGATAACAGTTAAATAGCTTGACAGTTAAATGGCTTTTTTTGATGACAGTTTCAGTAAAACTTACTTAATGTTATCTGTCAGGTCAGTGTTTGCTGGACCTTCCATTAGACAAACCCAATTTGTACAGCGGGGAACCTCTGCTGTGTTCCCTGCACACTTTTTTGCAACTTTAATAACCTATATAAGAGTTAGGAGTCACTAACCTAAAGAAACAGGAGACTCCTCCTAAGAAACAGAAATAGGTTGGGGGAGAAAAAGGCCTTCTGGAAGGATACAAAAACATTTTACTTTGCAAAGTCTACTTAGTTACAGAATGATTTTTAAAATTCTCATGCAACAGTTGAACAAAGCAGCACAGTATGGGAAGGGATCTTTGTAAGTTATAAGGCCTTTCCCCCACCACAGGGCACTACTATCCTTCTACATAAATATATCAGGCATAAGTCTGTGTTCTTCCTTTGTTCCTCCGATGGCCCCTAATACCCCCTAATGTAGCCACAGCCTTTTTATAGCTATTTATTTGTTTGCTATTACAGTCTTTCAACTTAAAAAAGCTCTTTTACATTTTTAGTGTTTGCACCTGGCATACCCAAAGATGACAAGCATATTCTCCCAAATTTTGTGTACAAATAAACCTGTCAAGCCGTTTTTGTCTCTTAAGACAGGCTTTCCAGTCTCCTGATCACTGTGGTATGAATGAAAACAGCTTTGCACCTGTTTCAGTTTTATTTCCTAGGTCATGAATGAGGAGCTAGAAGTGTGAACAGTAATGTTAAAAGCTCTCATAAAAGTACAAAAGCAGTAATAATTTCCCTATCTTTGGCTGGAAACCCTTTGCCAAATACTTCCAAGAATCACATCTACCTTTCTCAGGGCTTCATGATACTAGCCATCATTTTGTGATCAATTTATTTACATCTGGTTTTCAACTTATGATCTTCCATCTTTTAGGTGAAATTTTTACAGATTTCATTAGCGTACTCTCACTCTTTGTCCATAGTATCAGTTCAAAGATTGATCCAACACAAATAACCTCCTTCCAGCCTGGAACTTCCTCTTTCATTATCTCCCTTCAACATGGTTTCCTTTCACTTTACAGTCCCCACCTTCTCCACTTTCACGGGGAATTCATGAAAGTCTTCTGAGACTGCCTTGCTAAATACTTAACTTTAGTTCAGATTGATAAGAATGCCTTTGGCTGGAAAAAATCAAGTGTTGCAAAAAATAATTAACAGATTAGTCTAACATGATGTATCTTTAGTCAACATTTTGCCTCTTCATCCAAGACTTTAGTTATTCTTTCCTTCATAATTCGACTGAAGTTTTGTCTGCTATTGAAGTCAGATGAGCAAACCTGTAGTTACTCAGATAACCTTTCCTGATCTTTCGTATGTGGTCTGCAGTTATTTTTTAATCATAGGGGTACCACCTCTACACAACAATACATTCCATTAAGTGTGAGACTTCACACGCTTTCAGAACTGTGAAGTGGACATCATATCTATGTTAGTGGTGGTTATTACCGCTTCCATACTAACATTACCATCTCATCTTTTCCTTATATCCAACAAAATTTCCTTTACTGCACGCAGAAGTTAGTTTTTGGACCAAGTCTAGATGATCTTTAAAGATCTATGAGTAGTAAGGACTGGACAAAGATTAAAAAACAGAGAGCAAAGCTACAGAACTGCTTGCCACAGGATGCCCTGGAAACTAAAGGTTTATATGGGCTTTAAGGAGGTCCTGGACAGATTCATGGAAAAGAAATTCGCTGTGAATTACTAAATGCAGAGGAACCACCTTTGAATTAGGAAGTCTCTAAACTCCAAATTATTGGAGGCTTGGAAAGCTACATTCAGAAAGTATTACATATGCTTGCTCTGTTCTTACCCTTTTCAAGTACTTTTGACCACCACTGGAGATAGGCTATTCAGGGAGATGGAGCTACTGATTTTTAATCTGATGTAGAATGCATATTGTCATGTAGCCCAAATTTTTCTTTGTTTTATCTATAATTCTTTTATAGGCCCTTATATCAAAATTTGATTTGCTATTAGCAATATCCACTGGCCTCTAGCTTGCTGTGACAAAACAAAGCAAAAGCCTGCTGTCCAACATTAAAAAATGCAGAAACAGCCAAACATCTTAGATGCCTTTAATAATATTTTTACAAAGTTAATACATAGAGCTGATGCATAAAGACTTAGCCTACTAGCAACAAAGCTCTCAGTCTTGTGGGACAAAAGCACTTTATCTACAATGAAAAAACAAATCAAATTAATAATTAAAAACAAGAAAGAAATTCCAGTTTCATTTCCACTGTATACAGGCTGGGATAAACAGTGTCCCTTCCTGTTTCTGCTTGCATCGCATCTTACCGTGTCCCTCTACAAGCATTTGAAGCAATTTCTGTAACAAACTAAGAGCTTATGTAGCACGGATGCCACCTTGTGGCATGCTGCCATTCTCCCCATAGATAGGGGCAAGAAACCATTTTTCCCTCTGAAGACCACTGAAAAATCCATTAAAACAGTGATGTTACATAGAGCTTTCCATGTAAAGTAGGCATTAAAAAAAAAAATCAGTGCCAATGACTGCATTATTTCAGTATTTCAGATAGTATAGAGGGACAGGTTCTCTACAGACCAGGTACTAAAAGCTTTTTCTATCTCAGGCCACAATCTCATGCCTCAGAATAAAATAACCTGGGCTGGGCCTGTTTGTTCTAAGACTGGCCCAACATATGGGCCATTCCTAAACATACAGCCGGGGGTGTGGGATGTCAAGATACAGAAAACAAGGCTAATAACAGAAAATGACTTTTACAGGAAAACAGTTCTTGCTCTTTCTTTACTTGCTAGCCTAGCAAGGGGTTCTCTTGTTTTCATCTTGCAAAACCTAATTTTGAGCAATAGAATGTGAGGGCTCGAATGCTCGTAGCTTAGGTTCCTATTTACAAGAGGCAGTGATCCTGGATGCTAGGCTGGATAATAATCACTACCTGTCTAGTTTTTCCCCTCTTACAGTTTATTCTTTATATTCTCATGTTTTTGAGCTATTCACTATTTGAGCTATTCAAAAAGTATTTGTTTGCTTTGATTTAATTAAGACTTCTGTATTCAGCTAGAGAGCAGATAACTTCAATAAAGGGCGTTCTGAATACGCAGAATACTTACGAAGAATGCTTAAGTCTGGCCCAAATCTTGCAGTTCTCCTTAAAGATAATGTCAGCACTCTCTATGCAAAATGCACTGCCACTCCAACATGGAACTGACAGATTTCACAGACTACTTAAATGCAAATGGTCCATTTAAACAAATCTAATTAAGCCAAGAAAGTAAAGCAGAAAGCCGTATACTATACCTTCGATACAAGTTTTCTACAAAAATGTATTTTGCACTGTGAATTGATCTCTCCATCATTCTTACAGAGGAAATCTACAAAACAAAATGGCAGTCACTGGACAGTTTACATTTTCCAGCGCATTTGTTCCTTTTCAAGCTTATATTGCACATCACATCTTTTCCACTATAAAATACATACACTTTCAACACTTCCAGCTCTTGTGATAAAAAAATTCACTTTTGGGAAAAAAAAAAAAACAAATGTTATTAGTCTTACTTATGGTCACTGCATTATTAAGCACCTAAGTAACTACATTGTTACTCCTTAGCAAGTTTCAGAGGTAACTGCAGAAGTATTCAACTCAGCAATTGTTGAAGCTAACTGTTAAATGGGGGGGGAGCAAACAGGTAGACATGAATTGTTGCCATCTTCATGTGTATTACTGTGTAAACAGCACAGGTCCTTCACTAGAAAAACTACACCAAGAAAACAACTTTTAAAAGCTGCTTCAAATGATTCCCCACCACTTCACAAATGCCACATAAATAGCTGTAAGTGGCCTAGCTAGTCTTAGATGTGCTCAAACAGAGCTCCATTTTGGAGAAGAAATATTCTCTGACGCTCTCTGGTCCCCGCAGAGCAAGTCAGTCCTGGAATAGCTCTTTCCAATCAATTATTCTGCTCATTAATGACCACATAAGCAACAATTGCTCCAGTAAGGTTCAGACGGAAACTGGCAGCAAAGCACAGGTTAAAATGCAGGGCAATCCTCAGGAATTTTTAATGAGCTTTTCTGCACACTAGCAAGAGAATGACATTTTTCTCATTCTGAAAAAGCAGAAAAGCATTGGTAAGAAATACTTTAGGAACCAAAGGTGCTCTCTGGGAAGCAAGCTGCCAGAACAGACAATGTTCAGCTTGAACCCATGTTGATGCAAGTCATTCAGCACACAGCTGGCACCACAGTCGGGCTGCATTCGGTACAAACAGTATCCTGGCTGCTTCCTTCTTGAATGAGCAGTCTTCACAAATCCTTTACCCTCTACATAGTGTCAAGAACACAATCACAGCCTGATACATTTTGGTTGTAGTATCTATTGACAAATTGTCTCAACATCAACTAAACTGACAGTATTTTGGTATCTCTCCTTCAACCAGTTGACCTTTTCCTTCTTCAGTTCTTTACTAGGACGTATGCAATACCATTCTCTGTGCAATATCATCACCCTATGTGAGACTTCTGAAAGTTTGCCCCGAAGCAAACTCAGAACATATAATGCAAGAACAATCACGAAGGTGCAAGTGTGCCACCTAAGATGGTGTCTCGAAATCAGGGAATGGAAGATTGAGCATAGAAGGTATCAGAGGCGTTTGAAGGAAAGAGAAATTAAAGTATCTTGAAAAATAGTGAGGACTATAGAGTATGTGAATTGTGACAGAGAAAGAAAAAGTAACACGGGAAAAAAAGATGTAAACCATCTGAGAAGAAGCAATAGAGAATTTTAGTGAAAGTATTTTTGTATAAACATGAGAAGCAATAGAACTGTTTGCTAGATAGCATGGAGCAGTAGAACGACTACTGGCATTACCTTTAAGATTTTCTCATATACGGCCAAGGTTTAAAGAGGCTACATTTATACAGAGACAGATAAATAAAGAGAAGTCGTGGCTATGTGATGATGAAGGTATTGTTTGAAGTCTAGCTCATAAGGGTGGTGTAAAAGAGCAATATTTGTTTTGGGAAATAAAAGCTCTGTGCAGGTAGAAAGCAGATGTTCCACGTCTCGTTGAGCATATGTTGAGCGTATCAGCATTGTCTTTGCACTACACAAATTCATGCTCACTGCAGGAACAAAGAATTAATGCAAACAGTATCTTAACTTTTGGATACAAAATTAAAGAAAATATTTGCTACCCATAACTGCACCTTAATGTCTCTGTTTTAAATTAAAAGAAAAAAATATATTTAGTTACCATTGGTCTCGTATGCTGCTCCAACATTGTAAGCTGTATGTACGTTTGTAACGTTATCCCCCATCTTGATGCATCTTGGTACATTAAGCCCTGTAGGTAGAGATAGAAGCAAAAGGCAGACAACAATTTTTATTAGGTTGAACAGAAAAAAGGAAAAAATTGTTTATTTCATGAGCTTTTACACTACAACAGAACCGCTAAAAGCAACAGAATTAGTAAAGCTGCTGCCATCAGATTAGACAAAAATTAAATGATTAATTAAATCATTTACTTTCCACAAAGCATGTGTGAGAATTACAATCCCATTCTTCACTGACACAGGATATTGAGGATACTCACTAAATTCAACAGGCATTACGGTTACTCTGTACCTGGCGCAATCAAACCAATGCATAGTTTATTTGAGACAGTTTAAATATATCTAGGAATTAAAAGAATATATCTGCTACTGTTTTTTTGTGCACTGATTAGACTATGATCACACCTTTCCTGACAGGTTTATTGATTAGTAACTCATGCATGTATTTTTAAAAGAACAATAATTGTTGAATTAATTTCTGCCACTTACCAGAATATTATAACCACGAACATTCCTCCATTTAGACACTGGTTCTGTTAAAACCTTTATATATACACATATAGAGAGAGACACACACACACATAGAAGTAGACAGATAGACAGATATGAAAAAAGAGAGTGTTCCACATTAAACATGTTTTAGATTTGAAATCTTTGACTATATAACTCTAGGATTATTTTTAAATGAACAAGTAATAACTCAACAAAGTATTCAAAACATGTATTGGATAGCTCTTCCCTTTTCAAAAATGGCACCAGTCCTGAAGTACAAAATGTAATAACTGATGCTATTAAAAATAATAAAGCAAAATTTCATTATAGAGTATCTTTGTATTACTTTTAAATTACCAAAATAAAACACTGGCTTCTTTACATAACAAGCCTGGATATTTCTCATTCAGAGTCATTTATCAGTAAACCTCCATAGCGGGAAGAATGACTAAGTACTGGTTGCCCTTCATTTCAATGCTCATTCTTTCACAAGTTAATTTCCCAGAGAATAACAGTGGTTGACAAAGGAACTGAAGGTGAAGATCAATATGCCGTTCTAAGAATTTCCATGTTATTTTTGTGATCTAAAAAACAAAACGCATTTAAAACTTATCATGATTAAAATGAATCAGGAAAAACTACCCAGAACAGGCAAAATCACAGGAGACTTATCTGATTCCAACAATACTGTAGGCCCAGGCATAGAAGAATCTGATAAGATGAAGGAGTTAACAAGCTTTTAAAAAAAATATTGCACTATATGCAAATTAAAGTTTGCTATCCCTTGGGTTAACAGTTATTTACTCCGTAAGGATCATTCTTGTCAAATTACTAAATAACATCTTGAGACCTAGCACTTCTATGAGAAGTCCTAAGACTTTTTATCAAATGAGCTTCCAGGTCTGCTGGGAGAAATATTAACATCTAACGTACACCAAAATAGTTGGTCATTGACGTCTGATTTCAATTTTATTTTGTTTAAAATACAGTAGTTTTGCCTTCTCTCTAATCTTGTTCTGTCTACAGAATATGAGATCAAATGCTATACCAGTCTGAGATCTCCGAAGAAACAACTATAAAAGTTTTATTTTTTTCTAAGGCCATCCATTTCCTGGGCTCTCAGTTACGTGACATCAATACTATTCATCATTATGACTTTGTCTTGGATTATTACAAGTTTTATCTAAGATTTTTTTTATATTACATGAGAAAGCAAGCAAATGTTCTGTGGGCTGCTGCTAATTTACAAAAGGCCAAACTCTAATCTACGGATTAACTGACCTCTTAATAATGTAAACGAACATGAAGAAATTTAAAATCAGTACCTCAATGTTGGTAGTTTGTGCAAAATAGTCCAGGCATGTTGTTTTTCCACTTGCAATATTCCCCTCGATACATATCTGATGAAAAACAATACCACCTTTGAAAACCAAACATGCTACTGCAAAGAAATAAATGGCATATGTAAACATAGACTTTTTCCATATAAAGTATACCATTTCCTTGCAACGTCAATGGACTATTTTATAGGAAGCCTCAGGGGACCAGTGCGGATTCCGTGATCTCCCACAGTCACCACTTTTTCTCTCCCTGACATACATGTACCAGTTGCGTCTTTCCCAGGCAAGTGGCAGCCTTGCCTTCCGGCCTACCCTGCGCAGTGGGCTGCCTACCCGTATTCCCACTGCCCCGCACATACAGCCACTTCCCACCTCCTTTCCACGGCCTGCAAGAGTTTCAGAGGGTCACCTGCTGGGCGGCTGTTGCACCTCCTATGTTCACACTGCACCGCCTGCCGCGCTTCACCCCTAGGAGACTTAACTTTCAATTTCTAGTAAATGTCAACTGCAGAATAATTTCAACATCCCTTACACAGAATTCTTAAACAGCAAAACTCGTTAAATAGTTTATTTTAACGGGGTAGGTTTCTAAAATTTTTAACAAAGAGTATTTTTTTTTCAGCTGCCTGAAACAATTTACAGCTTAAAATCGTTAGATTCCAAATCCAGCAATCTGAGTGCTAGCATTTACAAAAGAAGAAAAAGGAAACGCACAAACCATTGCGTAGGGCAACTACTATGCTACACGCACAACACTTGACCCAACATTGCAACTCTTCCTTACAGGAATACCACACATTGCACAAGTTCCTCTTCATTTTACTATAAGTTATGGAACTAGATCAAATGTAGGTTTGCACTGAGTAAGACTCAGTAATGGACCCACCATCTGGATATTACTCAGTAAAATGCACCACATCCAATGGCTGCAGATATACTTGGATCATAATAAAATAAGAGGTTGCATTTTTACATGTTTTCTGAACAAAATGCAAATACTTATTACCGTCTTCTTATCTTCTCCTTTTATCAGATGTTTATCTGGAATTCAAATAAATATAGTTACAACCAAAAAAAGAGATCTCATAACTCATAATTACACTAAGCTTCTTAACTTGAGCCTGTTTATGAGGTTTTTAAGGCTCTCTATCACTGATTTTGGAAACACTGACATTGGGCGATCTGTTAGGTTGTCACTGGGTAACGTAAGGGACACATATTACAGCCTACATAGACTCAGTTTTTGCTCAAGTTCTGCATCGTCCTTTACGCTACAGAGAGTCAGGTGGCTGGTGCCTGCACTACTTTAGCAGAGTTTTGTTACACTTGTTGCTCTTCAGTTGTGATTACTGGGGGAAAAAGTTTTTTTTTTTTGAAAGGCCAAACAGTCAACAGTCATGGTACAACGCCCACCAACTTCACAGGCCTCAGTATACAGCGTTGAGTAAGAATGAAATGTTAAGACACTACCAAGACAAGCAATTTAGATGTTTGCCTTGCACCCCAAGGTTACATATACACAAACTCGGCACGTCACACTGAGGTTATCATCCCCAAAAAGGCAACTTGGGTTCCCTAGCGTGAGACATCCCGGATCAAAGCCTGCGGGGGGCCACCACGATGGCCAGGGGACCTACGCAAGTCTGGAGCACGACATACAAGAAGAAACAGGTTTGTGCACTCTGAAGAGAAGGAGGCCAAGAGGGATCTCGCCGCTGCCCTGCTAAGAGGCTTGGCAACTTCTCTGATTTGGGGGGGAGGGATGTTTTAGCTTTATTTAGGGCAGGAATCTCGGTTATAAAAGATAAAAAAACGCTTCTTGCTTCCTCCTCGAGAGTCACCACATCCTGTTTACTGCTAAAGGAGGAAGCCGATTTTTGCAAGCGAGGAGGCTTCCACCCCTG